GTGAATGCCCCCTGGTGTTGAGGGATGTGAATAGCCCTGTTATCAGACAAAGAGCATTGCAAATTTTATTATGGAAGATGTAGTTAGGTCAAAATGTCACACTTTATCATTTGATCTCCCTTTTGACCCAAGTTAAATGTTGTAGTTAAAAAAAAAAAGTGATGGGAAAATACAATTGGATTAAGCCCCTGGTGAAACCCTCTCTGCCCCAGGACCAGGGAGGGGAGCATGCAGAATGCATTTGAAAGTAGATTGTTGCAAATGCAGAAAGGTTACATTTTAGTGCCATATCATTTGATCTCCCTTATGATCCATTTAAATTTATTCTAGTTTTTAACATTTTCTGCTTTCTTTTCAACTGAGATTTTTCATGTTTTACTTTGTTACTCTTGTTAGGATTTGTTTGTTGGCTTGCTTGTTTTTTTAAAATGTTTTTCTGTTTATGAAATCTAGGGCAGGTAAATCTATGGAGACAGTAACTGGATTAATGGTTCCTTGGGGGTATAGCAGGGGAGGTTGGTGAGAAATAGGGAGCTAATAATAGTGATTACAAGAATGAAGAAAATGTTCTCAAACTGATTGAGGTGATGAATGTACAACTCCTTCATGTGACTGAACTATTGAATTATATGATGTGTGAAATATGCCAATAAAACTGTTGGTGAAAACGAGAAAAATAAAATTTACACAGCAAAAGCACTCGTTAGCATGTAATATGCAAATTAGACAACCTTGCTTGCTGAAAGCAAAGAGAACTAGCCAAGAGGACTAAAAGCATGTAACGGTGAAGGTCAGTCAACAGATTCTTCAGTATTGGATTGCAACTCAATATAAAGAAAACCAAAATTCTCACAGTGAGATCAATTGACAACATCATGATAATTGAAGATGAAACTGAACTTGTCAAGAATTTCTTTTAAGGTGGGCCCACAGTCAATGTCCATGGAACCAACAATCAAGGAATCAAATGAAAATTTCAAAAGGAAACTTGAGAAGACACAGTATTGTAACAAAATGTGCAAATATCTGGAATTAAAATACAAAACGAAACAAAGGGAAGTCCATAGTCATTCTTTTTTCAGAAACTGAAGAAAAACTTCAAGCCTTCAATATTATTAATGTTAATATTAAAAACTTCAATATTAAGGGTTTCTATGAACAAAATAGTGGTATAATAACTTTGCATTATGCTGTGATATGCAAGGTTGGTGGTTCGAAACCATCAGTTGCTCCATGGGAGAAAGTGCTTTCTACTCCTGTGAAGAGTTAGCCATACTAATTACATCTGTAGACTATACAAATAATCAAAAGAGCTGTACCATATGAAAAATATCATGGGATCATTGGACGGAAAGAAAGCTAACAGGAAGATGGCATCTAGTTAGATTTACCTGCCCGTAGTTCCTGCCGCCAGACTTGGAAAGTAAGGTGAAGGAGCCTGGGAGATAGAGTCCTGAAATTAGAATCAGAGTACTAGGGTCTGTACTGAACCCCGCTTTTTTGAATTTTAACTCACAAAGCGAACCTAAAACGCACTAAACTCGCTCTAGGCTTGGTGTGCCAAGGCGCTACCAGCACCCTAGTTTGGTAGTGAGCAGCGATTTCCCCAGGATTATATTCCCCAAGGGAATATAATCCCAGAGGAGATTCTCTGAAAGCTAGTCACTGGACGCCGCACTAGAGTTCCCCACACTCATAGCCTGGGAACTGGTGTCAACGGGTGGCCATAGGTTTGGAGCAATTGAAAAGAGAGCAGGAAATTCATCTGACATACTCCAGTGGGCGAATTCAGTTCCAGTTGGCAAAGATAAGCTAGATCTCCTCCTCTAGGGTTCAGCGTGACAGCCCCAAAATCAGGGTACCCCATAAGCCCAATAAAAAAAAGAGAATAAATATTTTCTCAGTAAAAACTGCAAATCCCAAGAGCACTGCTTAACTCCAAGACAACTGGTAGTCCTTTACCATACAACAGCATAAGGGAGCTCCAGCTAAGGAATGCCAGAAGTTAGCTACAGAGCCTAGAGGTTCTCAACATAACAAAGACCCCCCCTAGTGCAAGCCTCAGTTTCAGAATAGCCTAATTAAAAAAAAAAAAAAAAAAAAAACCTCTGAGGTGTTAGGGAATCAGTGGTCTTGACACTAGCTAGAACAACTTCTCAAGCCCAACAGGGGAAGCTACAGCTCACCCTGAGTGATCCTACACACAGCCTGTCCTCCCCGTGACTGGGCAAATGCAGCCCTACCCAGGGCTGAGGGAACTGTCCCGGCCTGCTGCAATGCTATATACAGCACAAGGCAGCAATGGAGATCACTAGTATTGCTGCCTTGTGCTGTA